AAATTACGTGATATGAAATACAACTTTCTTTTTATTGAATAATTTATTTTACATTTAAAATTTTCTATAATTCATTATATTTTTTTTATTAAATTTTAATTTTAATATTTCAACATAAAAATATCTTTCAGCGTACTATGAATGTCTAAATGGAAAAAAAAATGTAAATAAAATTGTAGTGTAATAATTAATTAAATATACTATCATTAATTTGAATATATTATGCATTGTAAATATTTTTTCAACTTAAAATTGTAATTTAATTATAACTTCAATATATTTAAATATAATATTAATTTGAGTATATTATTTATGTATTAATATTTTACATTAATATATTTTTCACACGAAGATTTCTGATAGTTTAGTATTTTAATTTATTTCTTTTTATTCACATGTTTAATATGAAGTGTTTTTTCTATAATTATTTTACTACATTTCAAGAAAGAAGAATCCTATGCGGATTATGTATCTTTATATGGATCACTAGAGGAAAAACTTCCTTAGTTCGGAGTGGATGATATATTGTATTTGCATACCACGTTATTTATTTTGGTAATAATAATTTTATTTCATATGCAATAATATTTAAGATAATGTTACAAGTTTTTTATTTGATATAATATATATATATATATATATATATATATATATATATATATATATATATATATATATTAACTAGAACGTGATCAATTATATTGAATTAGTCGATATATACATAAAATTGATGGACGTTGGGTGTCGGTATCTCATATATATTTTATATTATATCTATTATTGCTATTTTTTGTTATACTATTTTTTTTTTTTATATTTAATTATTATATTTGTGTTCCAGTCCCTACTGTTGTCTTACGTGATAAAAGCGTTGGAAAAGATTTTCGAAAAATAAGTATTTACAACATTAAATTTTAATCATATTAAGTGGAGTAAATATTTTCTTTAAATATTAGCATAATGTAATATTCGTTGTAATCGCTATTAATATATAGCATTAGACATATCATATCATACATGTTTATGTGTAACGACATACAACTATAATACGATTTATATCTTCTCATTTCAGTACATTATTTTTTGAAGTATATTTAATTTTAATTTAATTATACCGATGTTGAATACATTGTCAGTGAAAAGAAAATTACAAAGAATAAAGGAAAATGTCAATGTATCCTGAATGGAGTATATCCATTTCCATTCAGGAAAAAAAATCTATGAATTAGGAGTATGACATTTACCGGCAATACAATAGATATTGAAGGTTAGTTTGACTATGATAATCGTGCTTCATTACAAATATGTATCTCATATGTAAAATTGATTCTACTCCGTATGCTTATGATGGATTACATGGTCTCCAAAGAGTTCCAAGCATGTCTTCAAATTTGTACTATGAATCAAATAAAACGTACACTTTGTATTTGACATGCAATATTTAGTAGCATTACAGAAAATGATCAATACAATCATATGATACAAATAGATGGTTAAACATATTACAATTATTTTATATTAAACTAATTAATGTTATTTTGTGCATTATTGTCTTATTAGTTGTTGGATACACAGTAAAAAAAGGATACTAAATAGTCAAAACACCATATGGTAATAAATTCGAATATATTTAGATATTCAAATATATTATTTTATGGTATTTGTCAATTATTACATCATATGTTGTATTATCATCACGATTACAACTAAATTGATGTTGGAGGGATTCTACCCGATTATGTTTCAATTTTGATGATGATTGAAAAATATAGTTCGAAAGTTAAAGAAAAATATTAAAAATTAATAATTGTAAAAATGTCATTAGGATTTCTTAAGCTGCCCTACCCCTACCGTTTCTTTCTTATATATATATAAAGATATTAGTATTAGCATTAGTATTAGTATTAGTATTAGTAGTAGTATTAGTATTAGTCTTTGTATTGGTATTAGTAATATTATTAATATTAGTATTAATATTATTAGTATTAGTATTAGTATTATTATTAGTATTAATATTAGCATATTAACATTAATATTAATTAACATTAGTATTAGTATCATTAATAGCGTCAATATTAGGATTATCATTAACATATTAGTATAAATATTAGCCTTATAAATATTATATTTAGCATTAGCACATGCATATTATATTTGCATTAGCAATAACATTAAAATTAGGGGCGTGCTAAATCCCACACTAAAATTTACTAAATCCCACACATAAATTATTAAAAAAAAAAATCTCTCTACTCAAATTCTCTGAAACGATTTTATCCAAGTCACTCAAAATTCATTAATGTTTTACGTGAATAATCATAAAAAATGAGTTCCGTTTTATTTAATATTTATTCAATTTCATTAAACCTTTTTAATTATTCAAATTTATATGAATTCGATTTTTTTTCTCAAATTCCATCATAATTTTAGTTTGAACGTATGAAGATTTTTGTTAAATTCGAACTTGGAATGGTAGGGATGTTTTTAGTGTGTGATTTTGTGAAAAAGTTAGGGAACAAGAAAAAGTATGGGAAGGGAGAAAAGAAAATTTTAGAGAGAAATATTTTTAGTTATGTGCAAGATTTGGTAAAAATAGTGTGTGATTTAGCATTTCAGTTAAAATTAACATCCCTTTTAATTCATATAGAAAAATTTATAGATGTGTTCGATTTACATCATCGATATGTTTTAGTTCGTTGATTTAATTCATTTTGATCATAGAATTGATCCCCGTTGAGTTTCGTTTTATTTAATATTTATTCAATTTCATTAAACCTTTTTAATTATTCAAATTCATATGAATTCGATTTTTTTTCTCAAATTCCATCATAATTTTAGTTTGAACGTGTGAAGATTTTTGTTAAATTCGAACTTTGAATGGTAGGGATGTTTTTAGTGTGTGATTTTGTGAAAAAGTTAGGGAACAAGAAAAAGTGTGGGAAAGGAGAAAAGAAAATTTTAGAGAGAAATATTTTTAGTTATGTGCAAGATTTGGTAAAAATAGTGTGTGATTTAGCATTTCAGTTAAAATTAACATCCCTTTTAATTCATATAGAAAAATTTATAAAGGTATTCGATTTACATCATCGATATGTTTTAGTTTGTTGATTTAATTCATTTGGATCATAGAATTGATCCTCGTGCATCGCACGGGTGAGGTACTAGTTAGTATTAGTAATAGTATTAATATTGGTAAAAAAATTGGTATTAATATCAGTTAAGTATCCGTATCAATATTAGTATCGGTATCAGTATAAGTTTCAGTAACAGTATCAGTATCGGTACCAGTATAAGTATCAGTACCAATATCAGTATCAATTTCAGTATTAACATCGGTATCAGTATCAGTATCAATATTAATATCAGTACTAGTATCAGTATCAGTATATGCATCATTAGCATTAAAATCAGTTTTTGCATTAATATTAGTATTAGTAATAATATTAGTATCAGTATTACTATTAGTAATAGTATTAGTATCAATATTAGTATTAGTATTAGTTTTATTAGTATTAATATTAATATTAGAATTATATTAGTATTATTATCAGCATCAGTATTAGTATCAGTATCAATATTAGTATCACAATTAGTATAAGTATCAGTATGATTATGAGTATCAGTATGATCGATTATGAGTATCAATATTTGTATGAGTATCAATATTAGTATTAGTATTAATAATAATATTAATATGAGTATCATTATGACTATCAACATCAGTATCAATATCAGTGTCAATATCAGTATCAATATTAGTACCAGTATCAGTATCAATATTAGTATCAATATTAGTACCAGTATCAGTATCAATATTAGTATCAATATTAGTATCAGTATCAGTAAGTATTAGAATTAGTATTAGTATTAGTAATAGTATTAATATTAGTATTAGTATTAGTATTAGTATTAGTATTAGTATTAGTATTAGTATTAATATAGTATTAGTATTAATATCAGTATGAGTACGTATTAGTACGAGTATCCGTACAGTATCAGTATCAGTATCAGTATCAGTATTAGTATTAGTTTTAGTATTAGTATTATTACAAGTATTAGTATTAGTATTAACATCAGAGTATGAGTATTAGTATGATTATTGGTATCATTATTGGTAGTGGCGTATACATCTTATCTCTTTTGCATCATTTATAAGTTGTGTTGTTGTTTGAGTAATGTGCATCATTGATTGAATTTTGTTAGTGATAAATTTGCAGGTTATTTGAATATTTATTGTGTCACTTCTCTGCTACTGTGTTTGTTGTTAAGTTAGTTATTTTGCAGAAGATTCACATGGTGTAGTAGATTGCATTCCATGAAATAGAGTTATATCATATGTTTTAAATGATTTCACGTAATCTTCATATCGTGTTTTGTGTGCTCGTATTCTTCTTTGTAATATTTATTTGAATTTCATATGTTACAACTCTGAATTAAGATATTTTTTCTTGATTTCCTTCCATTTTGTTTTATTTGAATCGACATTGTTATAAAGAGATAATCGTTTTGAATATTCTTATTTTTCTCACTTTGAACTGACCTCCGTGCAACGCACGGGTGAAGAACTAGTTGTTAGTTTAAATAATAGACGAATAAACGGGGTGAAACTCACCGAAGTATTGAAAAGTGAAATTAGCCCTTTAAATTATGCATTTAAATCATTTTATATGAGGGTGCAATTGGATGGAAGGATTTGGGGAAGAGATTTCAAATCCATAATAACAAATTCCTTGAACTTGTTTGGATTAAGGGATCTCCTTTTAGTTATGTTTTGAGCAATTAAGGTGGATTTCAAAAATCATTCCATCCAAACGCACTCTGAATTCATTATTCTTAAATCCTAATCCAAAATTCGACTGAAACCATGAAAAACCGAACCATAAATCAACCGTATTCAGGTTGCAGTATTGAAAATAAAAAAGAAAAGAGAAAAAATGATTTCAAAAATTAAAATAAAATCTAAAAAACGAGGATTCTGATTCCTCACAGATGATCCATCAATGGAGAAGCACGTAGAGAAATTCCTAAAGAAGATCTCTTTCGCATCAATAACCATAGCCACACTAACCCTTCTCCTCCTCTACCTCCAGACACCCGATACCTGCTTCGACCCTTCCGACCCGGATCCGAAACCCCATACCCGTTTCCCCAAATCCACCTGCGACTTCACCCACCGCACCTACACCTCCATCGACAAGCGCAACCGCCGCCTCTGGTCCACCAAGGCCTGGACCACCACCCTCTCCTCCTACTCCTCTCTCTTCAAAACCCTCCAGGCCCGAAACTACTTCTCTAACCATTCCCGTGTCCTCATCGTCTCTGCCGGGCCGGGCCAGCCCGTTCAGGCCCTGACTGGACTGGGTGTTGATGACGTCACCGCGGTTGAGCTTGTGGATTCCCCTCCCCTTGTCAGCCGAGCCGATCCGCATAACTTGCCTTTCTTTGATGGGATTTTCGATCTCGGGTTCGGCGTGTACTTGGATCGGGCCCTTTTTCCGGGCCGGTACGTGGGCCAGATTGAGAGAACGGTGAGGGTTGGTGGGGTTTGTGTGGTCACCGTGGAGGAGTGTGGGAGTGATGAAGTCGATGAAATCGTTAAATTGTTTAAGAAATCTCGATTTGTTGATTCGAAGAATGTGCTCTTGGCTGGGGAGAGAAGGACTAGGATTGTTATGATTGTCGAGAATAACTCGTAACACTTTAAAGTTTCCGTCTTTTTTCGTTTTGGTTTTACGAAAATTGATTTAATCTTTTTCCAAACCTCTAGGATGGAGTTGCATTGTGTTCATGTGGTTGTTGTTGTTGTCGTCGCTTGTGAAACTGAAATTCGGAATATTTCATCATCGCCTTCTAATGGTTAAAAGATTAAATACGTATTTTGTACGTTCCCGTTGGATTTATGGTTACTGATATGCTGCTACTTGCTTGTGGAGAAGAAAGTGGTATGTATTTTTATCCGAGCTTGGTTATTAAATTCATTCATCTATTGTAGACGAGCTTCATAGATTGGTGATTTTCGATGTTTAAAGATTTTCTTGGAAATCAAGACTTGGGTTATTTCTCTCTAGTAGAGCCATGTAAGATTATTTATTCAGACAAGAAGAAAGCCTCAACATTTTGAAATTATATGCTCCAATAATTGTGTTAACTCGTAAATGATGTGTTATATTGCATAGCTTGTTCGTAGTGGCATTAACGTGATTATGTTACACATGAATGAAGAGCTATGACAGCAAGAACAAGAAGGTTTTTTTTGAATTGGTACTAAATTACAGATCGTCTATGATTTTGACGGCAGAGAATTCCGAGGAATATTCTGATCTATTGTGTCGGAGCTTTTCTCACCCGGTTTCCAATCTGTTCGGCCACCTGGTTCATTTCATTATCTCTGTTTTATTTGATTCTTTTGATTTTTTATTATTTATTCTTTCGCTTTAACTTACTGTCGCAAATTCTCCAGTTTTCGCGATGCTGTGATTTTTTTTTTTTTACCTTTTGATTTTGGAAGAAAACGTACTAGTTTGTAATTCTTGAACAATGGGGTTCCGTGTTTAGTATTCTCCATTGTCTTTAATATCTGAATGTGGTATTCTTGAGGATTTACATTTCAAAAACGGTCCATATGCAGTTTTTATTCCACTGACGGAATTTAATAATCAAACATTTTGGCATAATTGTTTGTATTTCAATCAGGAAGCCGACTGGATGCATCCGTACCTTGTGCAATATCTGTTGTATTGACGTATATATAATGTAGAGCAGGAAATATACCTTCGGTTTGTACGTTGAGGTAGACGACAATGTGAATGTGGATTCATTGTTTGTATCAGTGAGGGTTTGTCCTTGTGACTGAGAATTGTCAATCCAATCTTTATTTTCATTTCAAAAAGCTTTCCACAAAGCTGCTTGTTGATAATATCGATAGGAAGTGGATATCGATCCCTATTGCATGTATGTAGTCAATGAAATTGATTAGAAGGTAGTGCAGGTGCATACTGAAAGAATATGATATGTATATTTTTTGTTTTGTAAATAATAAGCAGTACCGTAGCATGGTGAAGCGATTAACGTTGTTGCGATAATGACGGGCATGCAGGCCTCTTCACAGGTATCGATTGAATTTGCTTGTAATAGTGCTGCATCGTTCCACACTGTAAGTATGACAATTTGATGTCTGTTTTTTTATGGACACGGCGAGTTTGTTAATTTCACATCGATGTGTTATTTGGAAAAAAAAAAGATTTATTAGAGCATATTCTTTGAAAGTATGCCTCTTGCCATCCATGATGAAAGAACGTTGCGACCACCGGCTAATAACGATAGCCAATAAATCTATATTTACAAATGGAAATTGTGTGTTTGTTTTATAATGAAAAGTTGGATATGTAATTGAGGCGGGTACGTAGTTGGCTGGTTTGGCTCATGATAGATTGAAGGCTCGAAAATGTGGTTCAGAGATATAGTTTCGGTTGTTTGTAGATGGACGACAATGTTGTTGTGTAGTATTATCCACTGATATGGATGGATTCCTGTAACGTATTTTCTAGTGCTCGGTTTTACCTCCGCCATTATTTGAAAGTATGTATGTATGTATTGTTAAGGGCCAGTGCATTTGTCTTGGAATCTGACATAAAGTTTGGCAATTTAATTGTTTTTTGACAGGTACATGTATAAACTAAATGTTTGCTTAAGAACTGGATGTGACATACGAAATTTATTTTAGTTGCAGTAAGTAGTATCCATTATTCTTCTTATTACACAGTGGAAGGTTGTGATTGTCTAAGGGATGAAGTTTCAAATAAAGAACTAAACAATATTTGTGAATAAAATATGATGTAGTAATTCCTAGGAACCCTCCTATGGAATTTTTGGTATCTTATGATTTGAATCGACTTAGGTACGAATGAATTGAATCGTAAACTTTGAAGCACACGATTACAACTGAGGAGGAGTCGAAGCATGCTACGTTGGTGGCGGATATTTAGGATATTGCAAGAAAGATCTACTTTTGGGTCAAATTTGCAATTAGGGTGGAGCGGCCGGGAAGATGGATGGAGTAAGTATATGTCTGATTCTGCAATTTTCAGAACTATTTCAGCCAGGGAGGTGGATTTCCAGAAATTACAAATTGACCCCCACTTGGGGAGCATGTCCGTTAAGGCCCAGTTTGGTTGGGCTGATCCGGGTGGATAGTTCCTCTAATCCACTCGGATCTCAGCTTTGGTTGAGCCCAACTGGGTTCTGGATTGCACTTGGGCCCGGGTCCAGATCAAGGATTTGCTGGATCTCCCATCAGGCCGAAGGAGGTGAGATTGGGTAATCTCATCCAACTCTCAGCCCAATCAAGTACAGTATATTACCTTTATGCCCTGAATATTTATTTCTAATTACAAGACTACCCCATATATATATGAATTACCCCAAAAATTATTGTGTTAGCCCTAGAATTTTACCGACATAGCAATACACGCCGTTCTTCGTTCTGCTTTTCTCCACTGTGGTAGTTTTTTCACCGAGGTAATTTTTCTGATACTCAACTCTTCTAGGTTCTCTAACACGCTTCTTTCTTCGTTTTTTAGGCCCCCTAAACCGGTTGAAGAATAATCAACTCATCACATATTGATTTCTTATTTTTCATACTTCACTAGTTTTTTCTTTTTTTTTTATTTGGTTTTTTTTTTCCTATAATCAACTCATCACAGATTGATATCACAGATTTCTTCAAATGCATCCGAGTATTGTTGAAGAATTTTGGGTTCGTATGGGTTTCGATTTTTTTTATTGTTCTTATTATCCGTTCCTTCATCTCGTAATTAAATTTATTTGTTTCCGTTTCGCAGGTGATTTTTGATTTTGGTTTCGTAGTAGTTCGTAGTTTGGCCGGGCTGATTCTGTTCTGGCCGAACGATTCCAGTGTTGTAGCTGGTTGACGGTTGGCTGTTGATTATCCCGGTTCGGCAACACGACGATTTAAGGTGAGTTCTCCAATGGGTTTAAGTTCTTCTTTTAGATTACAGATTAAGGATTGAGAAAGGTAGCATTTATTTGGAAAAAAATATTTTATCTTTTTTTTTGGGAAAAAGTAGTACATTACCTCATTTTTGGTTGGAAAATAACCATTATTTGGAAAAATAATCAATTAGTGAATTATAATTAGTTAATATTGAAGTCAATTGGTGAAATAATATATGATGTTACTCAGTATAAATTGTTTGGCCTTAATATTGTTTATCATAAACAATATATAAAGAATGCAATTAAGTTGTTTTTTTTTAATAGTTTACGATAGTTATTTCATATTTGCTTGCTCTAGGAGTTGGTTTATATGTTTCATATGTTTGAGAGAGGTTACAGGGTCTAGAATGTGAAATTTAGTTGTGAATATGTTTTTTTTCCCCCAGCCAGTGTAAGTATTTGCGAAAAGAAATGTATGCTTAATCAGATTAGAGGAGCAAAAGAATACTATATTAATCTGTTGAGACTAGGGTAGATTGGAAATATGTAATCTCTGATTGTTGTTGTTTCCCTCCGTTCCCTATTAGGTGTCGTTTTTAGCTTTGCAAAATGTGTCTTGATTTTAGGTAGAACACATTAAAAATATTAAGATAACCTTGATTATTTAATGATGTGATGATAAGAGAGAGTTAATACTAATAGATGAATTAATAAGGTTAGAACCAGAAAATATTGTTATATATTGTTTTTACAATATATATACGTGGTATATATTGTTTATACAGGGAATCAATATATTACTATAATTATAATCGTGGCATTTTTTTATGTTGTTTACTAAATAGGATCACAAATGTCAATGACGAACACGAGTGAGAAATAAGTAATAGTTTTCGCGGTGTATGAATTAGTCGAACAAATGCAAGTACTGGGGAAAGTGCCGAGGCTCTCGCCAGTGCGATCAACGATATATCGAAACAAGATAAAGAAGCGGGCGACGATTCAATGGGTGGAGACCACATACCGCAACCTGCCATGCACTCCAACGAGAATGACTCGGAGAACATGTCCTCATTGCACGGTGAAGGTTACATGTCTAATATGCAAGGTGAAGGGACTTCAACCTCACATCAAAGTAGGGGTAAAAAGAAAGGCAACAAGCGTTCCCGAAACGATGACCTCGATGGTCGTATCGTGGATATGATGGCGGATATGACTAGGACTTTTGCGGAGACTAAAACATGCCTAGGCGAGTTGGCCCACCGTATTGGTTTTGAGCACGATGCGTCAACTACACGTAAAAAGGTGTTGGATGCCCTATCGCCGTTATGTTTAGGTGTCGAGGATAAGATTACCGTCGCTAAAGCCGTTTGCAATAGCCCAACCGATCTCGACATCTTTTTCGGATTAAATGAAACTGAAAAGGGGGTTATGGTTCGAATGATCCTCGAAGGGCGCTACTTCGGTTAGCTAGAATATCATCCACTCACAATGTGAAGAAACTTTTTCCCGTATTCGGACCCTATCTTACGGCGTTATTTGCATTGAAGACATTTCTATTAGTTTTTCCGTATGAACTTATAAATTTTGGCCGATTATATGTCTGTAAATATTCTGTTAGTTTGGAGCTACTATGCCTAAATGGTAAGCTAAAAAAATATTTTGTTATTTAGGAGCTACTGGTCAATTTGAAACATGTTCAGGGGATGTGTAATATTCCAAGATTTATGTCAATATGCATGCGTTATATTCACACTGCAACAGGTTATAGTTGCAGGCCTTCGTGCATATTTTTGTCAATATGCATGTCTTCGTGTTTTTTTTTTTTTTTTTTATTTCATAGTAATTGGTTTATGCAATTGCGAAAGTTTCATTGTGCTCGGTCATTGGTTATAGTGTGATCGATTACAACTTTAAATTCTATATGAACAAACATCTGTATCAACAAATTTAAACAAACAATGTTAAATATATAAATATGTATTAACTAAGAAAAACAGTAGTATGAACAAAATGTAAACAAACAATATTAATATATATTATCGCCCATGGGTACGAAACATGAAAATTAAAATTACAAACCAAAATACAAAGTCAGGAAAATCAAAAACTAATACCGAAAATCTTGCCGACTACATGGAATTGGGAAAATAATACGGGAAATACCAATAATAATAATACGGAAAATATTAGGAAAAACTAGCCGAGATAATGGAGATTGGAAAATATTAACAAACAATGTTAGGGCTGATTTTATAATTACAGGAAAATAAGAGAAAATAATGGGTGCAATTGGCAATAATTTAAAATTTTCAAATGTATAAACTAATAAAAAAAATACCTTCCAAGGGGTGGTAATGTAATTAACCAAATTATCCCACCCAATCCTCCCAACCATTCCTGAGATTGGCTCATTCGGATTGAATCCTACAGATCCATATACAACCAACCAAACCCGATATACCATTCATACTTCACTAATCCATACAGTGTCATTTTTCAATTAAGCCCCAATCCCATCCCATCCCATCCCTCCAACCAAAAGGGGCCTAAGTAATAGAGAGTTGGGGTGGATAAGAATATAAACTTTACATACTTTGATATTAGCATTTTATACCCCACTTTGAGGCATCTTTGTAATAGTTTAGATAGTTTAGCCGCTGATTTTCATTGTAGGGGTAATCTTTTTCCTTGTGTTAGGCCCACAAGGTTTTAACGAGGCCTCGCGTTGCCTATTTTAATGGAATAATAAAAAAAATTGGCCAAAAAAAAATATTAAAAAAAAATAACCATGCATATAGGGTAAATGTGTGATACCCCTATTTTTTAAAAGAATCTATAAGGAGGTCCCATGGATTTTTCTACCCTAATCAAAAATCAGAATTATGGTTTAAATTTGGTAGACACTTGACCTGACCAACTTGAAGTACCTGTTTTGCCTTTACAGAAGCAGTTTTCATGATCACCATGCTGGTACTTATATATATTCTCTCCACTCTCCCACAAACCTTAGCTTTCTCTCTTTTGTCGCCGCCGTGATATTTCCTATTGTGCCGTTATTATTAGTGGCTAATCTCTTCCTAGGCAAACCGTCGCTCTACTTTCTTCCTTCCTCCGCCATTGTCACCAATGCTTTCGCTGACATCAAATCGTCGGACGAGAATTTCAGTGGAGTTTAGAGATGATAGGTACGAGCCGTTGTGGAGTCTCTGCCGAGCCGTCGATGTTGTGAGATCTGAGACCATATACAGTTTTTTATTATGTTTATTCATCCAATTTTTTTTTGTTACAAGTTAATATGTAATATCAATATCTAAATATTAAATTTTGTTGTTGGTGTAGATAATTTTTTTATTTTTTTATCAGCGGTGTACATTCTTACATATTTTATATATTAGGGATATATATTAAATGACCCCATATATGTAAATGATGCTATTAAATTCAGTAGCCTATATTTTTAGTTAAAAGATTCAATCTGGAAAAAAAAAGAAGGTAAATTGATTTAGTTGTTACTTTATTCATTACTATTTACTGAGTATTATGCATGTACTAATTCTTAGAGTATTTACCATTCGTAAACATCGAAAATATGAATATACAAGCTGCAGGTCTAATTTTGACATTAGAAAATCTATAGTAATGTAATCGAGAAATGGTGAAACACGAAAAATACAAGTGATACATTTCTATAGTACATAATGTAGGAAATGCTGAAAGTTGATCGAAGGGATGACACACTTCAGTAACACTTTAGAAATGGCATACATCCTTGTTGGTGGAATTTGATGGAAACAAAAATTGATGTTGATGTTTGTTGCACAATACCCCTCTAGCACGAAGGAATGCATAGTACAGAGTAACAAACTGTTTATTGTGCTATAAAAAGGACGCACGCAACAGCAGCCGGTGGTGTTCGAGACCGTAGCGGAGTGCAACAGTGGTATGTAATGTATATGTAAATCCTAGATGTGAAAATAGGCGTAATTTAATTCATCTACATCTATGAAATAAAAGGTTATTAAAAAACGAAAAGAATAAACTATAGGCGTAAATCAATAATTTGAAGGAAAAAAATAGCCAATAAGATAGATATAATGAATGGTAATGTAAATAGAGTTCGAATTGATTCCAACTCCATGGAAAATTTTTAATAATATAGATGAGATTGTCTGTAGTGATAGAGAAATGAAATTATTTCACACGATTCATATTCATCCGCTTAAAATGTTAAAAAAATCGTGGTTGAGTTTGCAAATTAATTTATTTAAGGGTGGTGATAAATGCAGGACGTGTTTTAGTAAATGTAGGACATTATATTTTAAAAAATAAAAAGTTAATATATATCCCATCTTATTTTTTCAAATCCCTTTCTTGTATCTTGCCAGAATATCACATGGAGAGTTTTAGTAAACTTAGACATTTTATTTAAAAATTCAAAACCAAATATATTTCATCTTCTTCTTTCGAAATCTTTTTTATAAGTCTCCATCGATATTACTTTGGAAGAATATCAAACAATTAATCATCATTAATCACCAAGAACATGGATTTATTGGTTTCGGAGGATGATACGGCTAAAAGTGAGGTAAAAAAATTAAATGGGTGCGAAATGTTTTTCATGTTTTATGTGTCAAATTTCCCTTGTTCTGTTTTATGTGCCATATTTAATAATGTATATTAATTTTGTTACTAATTTTGACCAGGATCATCTCGAGACGTTTAAAGAAGTCGATTATAGTGAATATTTTTCCATCGGACAAAATATTTTGTAGTACAAACGAATTTAAACGAATTTAAAGAGTTTCTTTAGATGTGTTTGAGATTGGAAATTGTAGAGAATAAATATAGTTCTGTAGACGGTTTATGATATAATAAATATTAGATGATAACTAATTTTTATATTAAAATGTCAATAGATACTAAAATATAGATAAAAATTAAAAAACAAATGTGCTACATTTACTAAAAACCGTTCTGTATTCATCATTTCCCTTCTTTTAAATATAATAAATAAACAATTGAATTAGATTCAATTATATGGCAGCAAATCTCATATGAACTCTAAATTTACTGTAGTTCGACTAATAATATCATTGTATAGATTAAGCTAAAAGACTACTGGAAAATGTTTTCGTCAGTGTATAGTTGTTTTTTGTTTTTACTGTATGATCAAACTTGTTTGCCTATTTTATAATATATGCCTCAAGAAATGTAACAACAATAATATTGAGACTACAATAAGTGTAAAATAAAAAACAAGGCTATACAATGTACTAAAACAAAATACAACTAGGAAAACCTAAAATAATCTGCAAAAATGGGCGAGTAACTTCCAAAACCTTTTCCAACATAATTATACTTTCCACCAACATCACATCGCCTTGTTTTCAAACTGTAACGAAAAGGATTAAAATATAATAATCATAAGATAAAAGCTATAAAAGAAATTAAATAATAAATAAATCATATTGGAATTTTTTCTATACCTGAGTACTCGAGCATGAGAAAGGCACCATCTCTTCAGAAGATGACGAAAAGGTAAATTCAACACACCAAAATTTGTACAACGTGAAGGTATTCATACCTGTAATAATGAGAAAAAATGAAATAATTTTCATCTCCCATCATATAACAGACTTGAAAGCACGTATAAATGAACGAAAAAGGAAAATAATATGTTGTCAAACACAAGAAAAATAGACTAAAAATAAATTAAATGACAACGCACAATGAATGAGGAATTCACTTTTTGGAAATTTTATATTGCAATCCATTAAATAGACAACCGCATTTATTGAAAAATATTCGCCAACAAAAATTAATGAAAAAATTTGTGTGCTAAATCATATATGACGACATAAAATAGTAAAAAAATTACTTCAAATGCCATAAATGCGTTATTGTTTTAAAGAAGATAAGCAGGAAAAATGTGCGATGGATGGAGAGGATATTTAATACTAAGCAACTACACACAATGTGTATCTCTGTTTTGATAATATTTCATGCATAACTGCCCTTCGAAGGTTTACTACAAACAAACACCTTGGTGATGTTTGAACAAACATCTTTCATGTAAGTGAAATAGTAAAACTAATAGAGGACATGCCAGAATATTTAAAGCATAAGTCATTACAGATTCGTACATGAAGTAGCTTCCTCGTGATGGCTGTTCTTCAAGATCAAAATATACAGTAACAGACTGCTACTATTATTAGTGTCCAACAAAAAGAGGTTGAGGACCGGAGTCAACACCCATTTACTTATACATCAACATGATCAAGTAATCTAAACAATATTCTTGGTGTAATCAACTGTACGGTTAAATCTAGAATCAAGATGTATCAACACCGTAACATCACAAGCATACCTTGCCCTTGACAATGCGACATACAACTGACCATGAGAGAACACTGGTTCCTTAAGGTAAATACCTACAAAGTCTAAAGTTTGTCCATTAGATTTGCTTATTATCATAGCAAAACAGAGACGCACTGGAATTTGCATTCTCTTGAATAAATTAGGCATTTTCGTTTACCAGATGTTTCTTAAAGTATACAAGGAATGAAAACAGTACGACCTCTAAATTCACCGGCTGCAATTTCAGCACGAATAAAGTAATCTCCCATCTCTCGACAAATCAGATGTGTGCCATTACAAAGGCCCTGTATTGGATTTAAGTTTTCTAGCAACATAATTGATAATTTTTCTTCAACCGCAATACATTTGGGGAAAAATCGGCCGCTGAAACAGTGCCTAAGAAATCTTCATATTCTCCTTGCTGCAG